TATGAGAAGGAATATTAGTACACTGCGAGGGGAGTAAATATCAGAACTAATTAAGTTCAAGGACAAAATTGGCATCTGAACAAATGGATATAAACGGGCCCCTAATAAATGTAGGCTGGAAATCTTAAGAAGCTGAGTTATGAGATTCTGGAACAGCTTTCCAAGGGGAATAGTAGGGCCAGAGAAAGTGCTGTTTAAATGGATCTTGATCAGTTTATGAACTGGGTATCATGCTGGAAACAACCAGAGAGCTAGACTCTTGGGCCACACAAGTCCAAGGTTCCCACATAACAGCCAGAACATCACCAAGCTAGAATATCTTGGTGTTATTCTGGAAAAAGTAGTAGTCAGCCACGATGTATCTCACATTGCACCACATATATTTTGGTTTTTAGGCTCCTCCATTTAGAGAGTCTCTTCAATTCCCTGATTATCCCCCCAGCCTAGCACTTGAGATGTTCTTCGACATTTCCAGGTAATCCTTCCCTGCTCTTAAGTGACGATGTAGGAATAGGGCTGAAAACAGCTCAAGGTAGCATTGAATGTGGAGCACTGTGCTCGCTGGCGAGGGTGGGAGTGCAGGGATGGACTTGAGCAGGGGTAGGTAGCCAGGCACCCTGTGTGGCTTCCTTCTCACATGGCTGAAGACCCTGCATGCAGAGGCCAGGCCCTGTGCCCCACCTGTGAAGACCCTGCCAGGAGCCTGCTGGTCAGTCTGAGGGCTGACAACCTGTCCTGCTGTCACAACAGGGCGACGAAGCCGCTGGGGCAGCCCCGCATCCCCTCCCACGGGTAAGGAAGGCGTCGGTGATCCCGCACACCTCCCTCCCCCGGCCTGCCTGGCCCCGGTGCTCCTGGCAGCCCCCCGGAGAGCAGGCCCTGCCTCACACCCACCGCAGCCCCCCCGAGCCCCGCCCGGGCGCTCTGCTCTATGCTTTGCTCCCGGGGCGGGGGGCGCGGAGCCGGGAGAGCCCCCGACGGGCCCGCTCCCCGCCCGCCCGCCCGGGCTGCGGTGCCAGGCGCCGCCAGCAGGGGGCGCCGCCGCT